CACAACGAAACACAGCATCACACACGGCGGGCTAGAGTGAGCGGAGGCCTAGAGTGAGCAGAGGCCTAGAGTGAGCAGAGGCCGGCGGCTAGAGTAAACCGCGGCCGGCGGCCTAGAGTGAGCGGCGGCGTGTGGGCTTGCGGCAACCACATGTGACGACCCTGGGCTGGACTCCGCTTCGTCCGCGGTGAAAGCCGATCCGGCGATTAGTCTTTGCAACTTTACAGATCTTCTTTATGCACCAAGAGCTTGTAACACTCCAAAGAGAAAGGAAAAATTGAAATCACATCATATGACCCCTTTAATAATATTAGGAAAATTCTATTTGAAATAAATGCTGTTCTTTTGAACTGGTTCTCACACAGATAATAAGCCCCACTACTGTTTTCAACTGTGATGATAATAAAAAATGTTTCTTGAACACCAAATTAGCATATCAGAATGATTTCTGATGGATCATGTGACACTGAAGACTGGAGAAATGCCATCACAGGAAAAATTACATTTCAAACTGTATTAAATTAGAAAAATATAATTAGCTCAGTATAAAGACAGTAGAAGTCAAGTGAATGTTACTACCATGAAAACATATCTGTGTGTGTTTCTAAAATTTTCAGGATTTTGATTCGTGGTTTGACACAAATAACTGTCTGGGTGATCAGAAGCTAGACTGGGAAAAAGATTAAGACTTGAAACATTTTAAATAAAGATAATTGTTTGATCAAATTCAAGATAAAATACCCCAAATACTCCACAGAACGTGACTTGACGCTGATTGGACTATATCCAGAGGCAGAACAAACAGTCTAGAACAGTGACAGCTAGAAGTCAAGTGAATGTTACTACCATGAAAACATATCTGTGTGTGTTTCTAAAATTTTCAGGATTTTGATTCGTGGTTTGACACAAATAACTGTCTGGGTGATCAGAAGCTGGTTGAAAGACTTCATGCAGTGAGTTTAACTCTCTCTTTGGAGGATATTTTTAGTATTGTTCAGCATTGAAGTAGTTTTGTTGTTGATGATGATGATTGGGACACTCAGGCTATTGAGTGGTTGTTTTCAGGTTCTGCGTCCATTCCTGTTGCGTCGTATTAAAGCGGAGGTTGAGAAGAGTCTTCCTCCCAAGAAAGAGGTGAAGATTTACCTGGGGCTCAGTAAAATGCAGAGAGAATGGTAAGATCCCACACAAACACAACTTCCTTAAAAAAACAAACAAACATGAATTAAAGGGATGAGACATAAAGCCCCCTTTCAGATACTGGATCACAGTCGTATTGCACTTGACCACATTAAAAGTCAAGTGTAAATTTACTAGATGCATTGTAATCATATCACTGAAGCAACACTCAGAGGCAGGCAGGGACAGTTTCTGACCACACGAAGATGTAAATGCTGATGTGCTTTTGTTATCTGCGTAAAACATAAGACTGTAAGTATTAACAGGTTCAGGTTGTGCTGCAAATTATTTAAAACGTTGATGGACTGAGTTGTACATTTTTCGTCATGCTCATTTTTTTCCATCAGTAAAATATTGAGTCATTAATCTTTAATGTAACATTGATATCACAAGAACTTGTGTGGTAAAAACCTTTTAGATTTACCAAGCGCTGCGTTGCGGCTTTGTTATTTTATTCTGTTCTAATCATGTAAGAAAAAAGCAAAAAAGAGGCTGTTGTCTTGTGTTTTGATCACCCGACTAAATTATCAATATTGCATGTGTTATTCTGCAGAACTAGACTGGGAATTTCTTATTTTTCTCCACAAATCATCACTCACATCTCTCTTTATTTTCACGGGGGCGCTTTAAAACTTGCCATATGGTTTGATAAACACTTTGGGTGATTATTTATAGTGTGTATGCTGTGTACTGGTGAAAACGAAAATATACTGTAAACAAACACTGTTGCTTATCAGCCAGATTTGTATTAATTTTTTAACTCATCTCATCGGTGGGTTGTCTGAATGACTACAGTTGTCTGTCTTAAGGCAGCCCTGCATAATTAGAGTAGTTTAGGGTCATAACTGCTAACCAGTCGGGTTTCTTGCAAGGATGCTAATCTCAGTCATGACAGATATTTATAAAAGAAAAATAACTTTTTTTATATATAAATAAATTTTTATTGCACAAAAATATCTCACAAATAGCAGAGACCTAAGGTTTATGCATGAATAACTGGACATTTTTTCACTGCAAGCAATTTGTCCAACAGTAAGACTAGTAAACCATCCTGCCTAGTTGCTAGTTTAGAGAAGTACTTGGCAATGTAAACTACTAAACAAGCTCTAGATGTGGAAAAAAACAATTTGCAGTTATGTTGGAATAATAAAAAAAATCGTACACAGTGTTTGTTTCCTTGGTTTAACTAGGTACACACGTATCCTGATGAAGGATATTGACATCCTGAATTCTGCCGGAAAGATGGATAAGATGCGGCTTTTGAATATTCTGATGCAGCTGCGGAAATGCTGCAACCATCCGTACCTGTTTGACGGGGCAGAGCCTGGTCCCCCATACACCACGGACACACACTTAGTCACCAACAGCGGCAAGATGGTTGTGCTGGATAAACTTCTGCCTAAAGTGCAAGAGCAAGGTGAGCAGTGTATGTGTGTTTATTAGCTTTTAATTGCTAGATATTTTGTCATGTTTTTAGTTGGAATGCAGATGAATTTTTTCATGTGTTTGTGCGTGCATTCCTGGATATATGTGTGTGCAGGATCCAGAGTGTTAATATTTAGCCAGATGACACGTGTGTTGGATATTCTGGAAGATTATTGCATGTGGAGAGGGTTTGAGTACTGCAGATTGGATGGCAATACACCTCACCAGGCCAGAGAGGTATACATACACTTAACCACGCACATACATACATACATTAAAATGCATGCATAGTTTCATGCAGACACATACATGTTACGCAACAAATGGCTCTTAGCTTATTATTATATTTTTTTTTATTGAATCAAAATCAGCATAACCTGTGTAGTTCAACCGATTCATGAACAAGTGACTCTTTTGAGTCAGTTATGAATAGTGAATCAGTGATTATTGACTGGTTCTTTAAATGACAATTTTCAGTTAAAGAGACACATTATGAGTTTTGTAAATAGCAAAACAACAACAACAACAGCAACAACAAAAATTAATGAATAAATAAAGTATATAAAAATTTTTTTAAAATTATATATATACTATACATAGAGAGTTTTTCCCTATATACATGTGCTAAAATGAACTGTAAATAATACTCTTTTTAAAGCTGAAAAAAGCTGGGGCCATGCTGTTTGTAGATTGTTTAGTATTGTTTAATATTTAATATATAGTTTGCAGGGCTTAAAGTTCTCCGGCACCATGCCGGATCTCCGGCGTGCAGCACAACAACAACAAAAATTAATGAATAAATAAAGTATATAAAATTTTTTTTAAAATTATATATATACTATACATAGAGAGTTTTTCCCTATATACATGTGCTAAAATGAACTGTAAATAATACTCTTTTTAAAGCTGAAAAAAGCTGGGGCCATGCTGTTTGTAGATTGTTTAGTATTGTTTAATATTTAATATATAGTTTGCAGGGCTTAAAGTTCTCCGGCACCATGCCGGATCTCCGGCGTGCAGCGTTTGGCTGCGGAAAAAAATAATCCTACATTTAAAAAAAACTTGTTGATATC